GTAGCGCTTTGCTTTCTTGGTCAGGGAAAGCTCGAAAGCTCTTTTAGCATCCAGAAGAATGCGGTCAAAAGACTTCCGTTCTCGTAGGTACTGAAGATGTCTAAGATAGCCGCCTGTGGCACGGAGTCGTTGCCACGCGGCCCGCTTTGTAACAAGGGCTTTTTTCGTTCGATTGGACCACCAGGGCGGGGTGGTCCGCGACCTAACGGGATACGGAGATGCGAAAATATTGGTGAGAGTCAACAGGTTATCCCTGATCAAATCCCACGACTCCACAGTCCCATAGTTTGCTTCTGACCAGACCATGGTTTGAACCGCAGCCTGGAGACATTCGGGCTTCATGTGCCCATAGCGTCGCCTCAATTTGACTTGAGAAAGTAGAAGAGCACAGCCGTATTAGCACCGGATACTAGCGTGGTCACTTCTGCCTAGCGGTGCACCTATGGCAGTGATGCTGATGTCATTCCTGCTTTTGGTAAACACAAGGTTTAAGGTGCTGGGAGAGTTACCCAGCCGCCATCGGATGGGATCGGTGACGTGCTAAGTGAGCACCAATTCATGCATCACCTTTAGTAGCTCATCCCCGAAGCTGCCCACTGGCGCATATTCCATCTCCCATTCGATCTCAGTAGCATTGAAATCCCCCAAGACAAGAACCCTACTTGCCCGAGTTGTTGTGTGCCGGAGAAAATCTATCAGCAACTCATTTTCGTCGATGCCTGCGCTTGGGCTACGATANTCAGAACTGCTAATCTTACTCCTGAGAGCTTGATTACACACCCGGAAGCCTGAATGTTCTCCGCGCACAGAGTATCCACGGCCGTCTGAGAAAGAGGTTTGCTACGAGCAGTAGAGCACCGCCCCCCAACCTATCCCTTGGACGATCGCAGCGATAAGCCTGGAATCCTGGTGGACAGAAGCCCGCGATACAAAAATCAGACTTGAGCCAAGTNGGCAGTGAGTTTGGTCTGCCTCAGCCCGGAGCTCGGTCCACTTGTTCATTAGGCTGCAGGCGTTAGTGTAGTAAACACTGAGAGCCTGCGCCCTTTTACCTCCTATTGCTTTTGAGGGGTTGCACCCGGAATTGCTCCCGGGTGACCTTCAATTTTTTTTACCTCTGGTCTTGTTGCGGAGTTTCCCTGCGGGTTCACCGCCCTATTGTGGTCTTCGTGCCCTGGATATTCACCCCTCGGGCCATCTCTGGGAGCGGGGGTCGTTTTCCTGCGCGGATTCTCGTGCCCCATTCTTATTACGTTGACGGACAGAAGCTTGGTGCTAAATTGCTGCCTGCAGCTAGGTGAGCTAGATGAGGCCGTTGTGTTATGTTCGCGAGGGTAGTCCGGCTCTATGGTTACCTGCTCTTCGGTCAACTTCCTCACATTGGCGGAAGCTGCCAGCATCAAGTCNCAGGTGCCTGTTTATCTCCATGCCGCTTCCCAAGACGCAACACTCGCTTGATCTGCACCTCTGAGGGTTTTTGAGCAAGTCGGATTATGTTTCCAACTTGGTGTAGGAGCGTTTGCCCGCGGCTGCGCGTTTCTCTACAAAACGACTCTGGGATGCCTCTGATAACGGCGTTTCTGTTTCTCCCTAGGGCTGAGTTGGTAAGGACCTCGAGCATATGCAGGGAGTCTCTCAGGCTGGTGGTGATCTCGGCGAGCTTCGTAATGGCCTCCTCGTTAGCGTCCATGCGCGCATCAAATGCCCCTTTCCCTGGTGGCAAGTGACACTGGGTAGTCTTGTTGGTT